TGGTCCATCCCGTTTGCAGAACTCTACTGAACTCTAGTTAGTCGCTATTCCAAGCAAATATGTTCAAAACAAAATGAATCGTTCTGACGAAACTTGTAGTACACGGTTCTAACAGTTTGCAATGGGTTCTCATCACGTTCTACTCGTAAGTATGTTTATGTAGTTCTCATGCAGTTCTTACTATGTCAACTCTGTGTACATTACGATATGACAAGGTAGGGTATATATACATGCGTTTTTATCATGGTCGTCATTTGGGATATAGTTTCTATGAACAAGTTTGCAGCTGTCAGAATATTGAATGCTGGTTTCCTGAATTTTTTATTGGAAGCAGAGCAAGAGTACAATGAGTTGGTAGAGCAAGAAAGAAGGAAAACACAAGAACTTGTTGGGTGAGGAACTGGCTTAAACCTGAGAGGTGAATAGCTGTGGGACATTATCATCAACTGATGGAGGAGCTCCGCCTTGATGATCATGAGCCCTTCTACAACTTCTTGAGAATCACCCCACCCATGTTTGATGAATTTCTTGAACGCATTGACCCCTTTATGAATTAGATGTTCACCCTTCTTCTACCTTGGAGGCATGGTGATGTCAATGTTTCCACCTTGAAACTGAGAACGGAATAAGAATGGGCAGGGTATTTATATAAATCGAACCAGGAAGTGATTGCTATTACGATTGCACACACTAGAAACGGAGTGAGAAAGAAGTGAGAATGGGAAGAAGTGACTGAAAAAGAGTTGGTTTAGAAGAATGAGTTAGAACGGGGTTGTGCGCATTAAGAACGAGATTGGTTTAGTTCAGAAGGGATATGAAGTGACTATGGACAGGATTGGACTGCTTGAAAACGTCCACACGGGGTGAACGGGCAATTTTACCCACTCTAAACGTAACACCGACTGTCTGAGGACAGGGTAAAGACGAGAGACAGACGTACTGAGAACTGTTTATGATCAAACTAGCATTGTAATTTATACAAAACCTTTCATCAGTTACTTGTTTGGAGAAAGCACAGGACGTCATATGATCAAAAGCATCACTAATGGAGGCATGACTCCCATTAGCCATTACATAGGTAGCATGTGACTCAAGGCTTTACCAACAGGTAGCATGCACTGGACCATAGCATAGACAGAACACCATCGTTCGTTCATACACTGCTTCTGCTACAAGACTAGACTTGTTGACAGGACTGCTGATGTTTTTCCCCATTGTCTTGGCAGTGGTTTGTTTTATAACAATCACTTCTACTTTGCTGGTGATCCTCTTTTGATTTGCTCCCCTGGCACGATTTACTCGTTTCCATTGCTCCCCATTTATTTCTACCCAAGAGAGAGCTGCGGGAGGCTTCCTTTACTGATTTACTTTGTCTGGCATGCCTGTCCCAAACATCGCATCAACTCTAATGCAGTCTGTTCGATTCAGAATTGAAGTGAAGTTGTCTCAATGCATATCAGTGCCAGGAAAGTATCCAAATGTGGGAAACAGCTCCTTTTCTGAACATTTGCAATTTTGCCATTCCATCAACTATATGAACTGGCAACATTCTTCTTCTAGACGCTAGGTTTAAAAGTTCGTTTAACAAACCAGCAAAGCTTGATGATCCATCTGAATGGGATTTGTAAAATGAACTCAAGTTTAAAGTTCATTTAACAAACCCTCTTTTGATGTTCTTTCTTAATGTTCCATCTGAATGGAATAATTGTAAAATGAACACTAGAAATGTCCCATGTTCACATCAGGATTGATGACAAAATCCATTCAATCTTCCAAATGAATAGTATCTGCATCTTGTGAACATTGGATATTGGAGTTATTGTCCCAAAGGATATGATTCACATCCTCTTGCGTTGAACAGATTGGGGCAGAAGCAAAGGGATAACTTCATAAGTAGTCGATTGAACTCTTCAGGACAAACTTATTGGTCACCTTTACATCGACTTAACCTGAAAACCTTTTTCTACATTGATTCCCAAAAAGGATGTAAACGGCCCACCTTTTGCCTATGAGAAGCTTCACACAACAAATGGATGACAATTTGGATGTTCAAAGAAACACTCATTATATCTTGTGTAGCCAGTTTGTGAGTTCTAATCATGTACCAAATAATTCAGTGATGTCTGTAGATGACACAAGATATTGAATGAAAACCTCCCACCAACATCCAACAGTCTAAAACATCACATTGAAAGCGTAAACTACCAAGTCCAAGTTTGGAAACAGTCTCTGCAATCAATCATGAACATCCCTTCACCAGTTGAGCATGGTTGGAGCATTTGTGATGGTCAGCTTATCCTATTCTGATGTCGAGAGATCCTGCTCCCCGTGGATTGGTTGAACTGACATCGTGTAAATGCAAAAGGTCAGCATGCAAGCAGAAAGAATGATATAGTGTGCACATAGGCATGTCTTTTTGTATGGCAGATGATTGTTGCCCGAACACATTTGACTTGTTGCCAGTAGATGACTCCGATTCTGACATGGGCGAGTGAGTGAGTTTAGTTTTACACTGCATTCAGCAATATTCCATCTTTATGGCGGCAGTCTGTAAATAATCGTGTCTGGACCCGACAATCCAGGGATCAACAGCATGAACATCAATCTGTGCAATTGAGATACGATGACATGTGTCAACCCAGTCAGCGAGCCTGACAACGTTCCCAGATCCCGTTAGTTGCCTCTTACGACAAGCATGGGTTATTGAACATCAATTCTAACCCGGATCTCTGCAGGTCCGATTGTGACATGAAGTAACATATGAAATGAAAGAAAGTGAAAAGGAGGGTTAATTGCAGGGTTATGGATGTATCAAAAGTGATTAAGAGTTATCTGATAGAACAATTTGAATGCCTACAACCAAAGCTTAGACGTAGTTATCGGCCATGAAGCATAGCTTTCAAACACTTTTGGATAATGTTATTTCATCAAATATTTTAGGAGTATGAAGCTTTGAATGACCTTATCATTGAAATTTAGCTCTATTCCTATACTGTATTCAACATTAGACACCAAATGATTTGTTTGGATTTCATATCAGTACAAATTTAGTCCTCCACGAAGAATATGTAGTTAAACTACAATGGCGGCCATTTTGGCGGCCATTTTGAATTCTGGGTAATATGTAAACATTCCTAATAATATGCAGTCACTCTCGAAGTAAAGAGAAAACAAAAACAACTTGTTTTAGTAACAAAAATAATGTTAACTGCCATTAAATACATCACCCTCACACATTTCCATGAAAAGTCTGAGAAATGCTAAAATACCCCTGTCTCAAAGAATAAGCTGTAAAACATTAAATTACCACGATATGACCAACCAAATGACTTGTTTTATGCCCAAGCCATCACTCTAGGAGAAACAAGCGTCAAAACACATCAAAAGTATCAACTTTGGATGTAAATGGAAACATTCGGTGTACATTTTTATGTAGATTTAAGTGCCCAGAAGGCAAAACACGACAAAACAAAATGGCGGGCATAATGGCGGCCATTTTAATTTCTTTTTCAAAACAAAATCATGTCAAATAATTTCTACATCCTTTAGCAGTACACAGAAGTCATAATGAAAGTGATCAGATTGATAGTAGTAAAACTATTAATGATTAACTTTAAGGTGTTGTCGGGCAGCAAACCAAATGTGACGAAAATGCCCCCAGACCCCAACCACATATAATGGCCTGTAAAAAAAAACCTGATACCACAATCTGAGAGTATTACAGGCCTTTTCATGAGCCCAAGACATCATACTAACTGAAAATAGTGTCAAACAAAATCAGTACTGGGGAGGCTACGAAATCCTATTTCTAGGCCCCTTTTGAGATTCTCCTCCTGGACTATTGCATAATTTTCTATTTTTAGTGTCTGTTGATAATTATAAGACTGGTGTCACCTAGCAGAGAGACATTCGGCCGTGTTTTGGTCACGTGTTGTGTTAGGCCTTCCAGTCTTTGCCTATCGCTCGATGGTTTCCCTTATGTCTTCAAACGTCTCCCCTTAAGCCTGTCTGTAATTAAGTGTCCAAATTTTGGAAATTGTAATATTTGGCAGGTGTCTCTGTTTCTCTTCATCAGTGCAGAGGCGGTGGGGTAGCCTAGTGGTTAAAGTGTCGCTTGTTACGCAGAAGGCCCGAGTTCGATTCCACACAAGGGTACATCGTGTGAAGCCCACTTCTGGTGTACCCTTTCGTGATATTGCTGGAAAATTGGTCACCAATCAGCGCAAAACTGAAATTGTAATATTACGTGTAATACTAAACGGTAAATTATGATTGAAATTGAGATACGCCCTCCACTCCACACATACCCAAATACATCCAGGAGTTCGGTATTACGTCCATGACGTCAAAGCTAGTAGGGATACTGCATATAACTCAATATATGTTTGTTCCAAGTGATAGATTGTGTCACCTTCTGATTAACCTTATCACATAATACCTACGTGTACCCGTTTGTTCCAGATCAGATATGTGTCTGCTGCAGTAGCCATGTTAACCGTTAGTCATGTGTGAGTGAGTGAGTGAGTGAGTGAGTTTGGTTTAACGCCGCTTTTAGCAATATTCCAGCAATATCACGGCGAGGGACACCAGAAATGAGCTTCACACAATATACCCATGTGGGGAATCGAACCCGGGTCTTGGGCGTGACGAGCGCACGCTTTAACCACTAGGCTACCCCACTGTCATGTGTAACACCTATATGTGTATATTTGTACCAGACAATATGTGTGGCTCCTGATTAACCCGGCCTATACCTCACAAAATACCTTGTATATGTTTCCGTTAGTTCCAGATCACTGCTTGTTAGCCCATAGCCTTTCACACTTTCTATATGAGCCCGTTTGGTCCAGTTCAGACATTTGACAACCGCAGTCCTCATATAAACCCATAACTTTACATAACACCGAAATGTCTCTATTTGGTCCGGTTCATACGTTTGGCTAATATAGTCTGCATGTTAAACTATAGCCTCACATAACACCTGCATGTGTCTGTTCCAGATCACACGTGTGGTTACTGCAGTCTTCTCCCGAACCTGCTCAAGAACTATGGATGGAACCCTGGTATGGGGATCTATGAGTGGTTCGGTAACAAACTGAAAGAGAAAACTGGCTCAGCTGATATCACATTTGAACAGGTAATTAATCTATTTTGTACTCTCAAACTCTGTAAGAACATAACAGTATGTTGATCCACACATTCTGAATAACTGGAGATCCGTCTACCTAGGCGGTTGATAGAGTGAGTGAGTTAGTGAGTGAGCGAGTTTAGGTTTACGCAGCTTTCAGCAATATCAGGGCGGGGGACACCAGAAATGGGCTTCACACATTATACCCATGTGGAGAATCGAACCCGGTTCTTCGGCTTGACGAGCGAACGCTTTAACCATTGCGCTACCCCACCGCCCCTGGTTGATGGATGATGCGGGAGAGAAAATAAGAAAAACTCGGAAGGAAACACTGTCTTTTTTTCGTTTATATCATGTAAAAACTTTTCTGAGATGAGGAAAAATTCATATATTCATTCGTTCGTTCATGCGTTCTTCAAAATGCATTCTAAAGCCATAAGATAAGTCAGTGTTGCAGATATTTATAAAAGCAACAGTAAAATATGTTTTAGACTTGTACAGTTTATCAAAATATGAGGCTGATGACAACAATTGTAGCTGAAGGCGAGTATATGGGGTTATAAAAAATTCGTGCATGTATGCTAGAAATATGATCGTCCATCATCATGATCATCATCATAATCATCATCATCATGTGTACCCCAGTTATGTTTATCAGAACCATGAGGAAGTGTTAACATTTAGGGCGGTGGGGTAGCCTAGTGGTTAAAGCGTTCACACGTCACGCCGAAAACACGGGTTCGATTCCCCACATGGGATTCTCCATATGTGTGAAGCTCGTTGTCTCCCGCCGTGATACTGATGGAATATTACTTAAAGCAGCGTAAAACTAAATATGCTAGTTCTGATTCAGAAGATTATGAAACCATCAGTATAAGCATCTGGTATCTTTTGTTTCGTACAAGGAATAACTTGACCAGTGACGTGACAGTCATTCTGTGACCGCCAGTAATACAATAGCTCTATCTGTATAATGACCCGTGAAGATCCGGGTTAGAACTGATCTACAGCGACCCATGCTTGTCGTAAGAGGCGACCAATGGGATCGGGTGGTCAGACTTGCTGACTTGGTTGACACATGTCATCGTATCCCAGTTACATCGATCGATGTTCGTACTGTTGATCACTGGATTGTCTGGTCCAGACTCGATTATTTACAGACCGCCGCCATATAGCTGGAATATTGTTGGGTGCGTCGGAAAACAACAACCAACCAACCAAGCATCTTTATAATCATAATAATCTGCTCTATGTCCTTTGCAGCTGAGGAGTAGGTATGGCCGCGAGCTGTGCGTGGTCGTGACCAATTTGAACCTGATGAACACCGAATATTGCCACCCAAAAACTACTCCGGATATGCCACTCAGACTCGCTGTGCGCATGTCCATGTCCATTCCAGGTACATCGGCTTTTTGTCTGTCAGTTTTAGTAACACACATAACTGTTCAGGTTTTATTAGTTGATAATGACAGCAATTGATCTATTTAGCCTCTGTATATACTAAGAATAAACACTACTCTTTATCATCCAACTTTATTGATCTTGACGTTCCATCTCAAAGCAATACTACAACTCCGATTGTATTTAAGTAGGAATATAAAATAGTGTTTGGCTTGGTTTGCAGAAATGTAACCTCAACGTTTTGGAAAGAGTTCCGCCCGTAACCCCCGATTTTTTATCATTCTGTGCCTAAGAATAGATGGTTTTTTTAACAGAACCCCTAACCCTAACCCTAACCCTAAATCTAACCCTAAACCTAACATATGCTAAATCTGAACATTTAACCTAAACCTAAACCCCTAGAAATAATCATAATAAATAGAATACATTTCAAGCGGGGGTTACGGGTGGAACTCTTACCGAGTAAGTTTACTAAGCAGGTATGTTCTGCCTTATGTCATACCTAATCAAAACCAACTTAAATATAATGGAAAGGATTTCATAAATCACTCATCCTATACTGACAGTACAGCACTTGCCCTATACTAACAGTACAACTTGATAGCAATCGATGTCTTTGTCATTACGCAAGCGATTTTTATAAATATATTCCGTACGCATTTGTTTTAAACTTTCTGCGTATCTAACATTTTAAATGCGTAATTGGTACGCAACAGTTATTTTTCAATGCGTAATTCTATGCGTATTTTACTCCGGATACGCAGCTTATCTGGGCCTCTGTAAACTCAACAATCATAATGCAAACAAAACCCGTAAACAATTTAATGCCTTCAAATGAGTTTTAACGTCCTACAGCTATATCTAATTACCTGTTTAAAACATCCTTGATGCATTTTGAAGTGAGATCATGTTCGTTAAGATTCCATTAAATGGCATGACAGTTTTAATAGAGATGCTATTAGGAGAATAAGTAAATGCTGAATTTGACCTTGAGAAGCTGAAAATATAAATAAGATTTTCAATCTATTTTGTTAGTTTTTGAATGAACAAATTCACAACACTGAATTCTGTTATCGAACACCACCCTTTCATTCTGTGACTGCTAATTTCAAACTGTGAGGAAACTGACGATAGCGGGTGCTGGTTCTCGCCCAGGCGCTGATCACTTTACACCACTCGGTTTTACACCGCGTGAAAAGCCGTTGTCCCATCACTCAACACTCATGTTAACCGTATCTGCATCCAATGGTTGTCACAAGGCGATGCAAATTAAATGTTCCTTTCTTGTAACTTCATTACCTTAACACTTGAGACCTTCTCACAGGATGGCCTTGTGGGAGCATTTGTTCCACATATGTGAACCAGCGTCCAGGATGACACGTGTGTGATTGCACAAGAGACAATTGTAGCATTTAACGTATCTCGCCGCTTCTGTGTCAAGAATGAAACGTTCAGTTATTAAATTACTGATCAGATCGTGTTGTCAAGCTTAATCATGTTTGAACAAAACATGGTTTGCACACATGTGCCCAGAGAACCATGGTTATAAGGTCGTGGCATTATTGATAAATGAATTATGCACCTCACGAGCAGATGGTATTGTATAGATGCTTTTATTGCTGAGTTCTCTGATGGTCGCAGGAAAATGTCAAAGTGACCTGGTCGTTTAGTTTGTTCGCCTGATGACTGACCTCTGGGGAAATATTCCCAAAACATATCTGTTAGACATTATTGAATAGTAGTTTAGTGGTTGCCTTCTGATGTCGAACCTATATTTGTTTACGTTACATCTTTAAACAACACGGCTGTTAGGAAGGTCTTTCATGTTTGGAATAAATACTACACAAACATTCGAAGATATCGTTTCATTTCGGAATGATATAAAAAGAACATGAATGAATGACATTTTTTTATGGGCAGAAACCATTTTGTAACGACCTTTCAGTGCCTTCCGGAGCAACGTCTTGCACCTTCATATCATGGGTACTGAGGAAGCGCACTAAGCACACACTCACGGACACACATATATTAATATACACTCACATACACACACACATATATTAATACACTCACACACACATATTAATATACACTCACAGACACATACACACATATTAATATACACTCACAGAGACACACATTCACAAATGTACCCCCCAAATTTACACTCACACACATGTACACCCACACACATCCACCCACAGTCACGCATATTTATACTCACACACATACAACCCACACTCACATACATATACACCAACACTCTCACATACATATACACCCACACTCTCACATACATATACACCCACACTCTCACATACATATACACCCACACTCTCACATACATATACACCCAGACACTCACATACATATACACCCAGACACTCGCACACACATACACCCACACTCTCACATACATATACACCCACACTCTCACATACATATACACCCAGACACTCGCACACACATACACCAACACTCTCACATACATATACACCCACGCTCTCACATACATATACACCCACTCTCTCACATACATATACACCAACACTCTCACATACATATACACCCACACTCTCACATGAATATACACCCAGACACTGACACACACATACACCTACAGTCACACATATTAATACTTACACACATACATCCCACACTCACATACATATACACCCACACTCTCACATACATATACACCCACACTCTCACATACATATACACCAACACTCTCACATACATATACACCAACACTCTCACATACATATACACCAACACTCTCACATACATATACACCCACACTCTCACATACATATACACCAACCTCTCACACACTCTACACCAACATCACACACATACACCAACACTCTCACATACATATATACACTCTCACATACATATACACCAACACACTCTCATACATATACACCAACACTCTCACACATACATATACACCCACACATACATACACATACCCACACTCTCATACACACTCTCGTACATACATATACACTCACATACACACTCTCACACACATATACACCCACACTCTCACATACATATACACCAACACACACACATATACACACACAGACACATACACCAGACACACTCACACACATACACCCACACTACACATACATACATATACACCAACACTTCACATATATATACACCCACACTCTCACATACATATACACACACACACTCTCACATACATATACACCCACACACTCTACACATACATATACACCCAACACTCTCACATACATATACACCCACACATCTCACATACATACATACACCAACACTCTCACATACACACATACACCCACACTCTCACATACATATACACCCACACTCTCACATACATATACACCAACACTCTCACATACATATACACCCACACTCTCACATACATATACACCAACACTCTCACATACATATACACCCACACTCTCACACACACATACACACTCTCACATACATATACACCCACACTCACATACATATACACCAACACTCTCACATACATATACACCAACACTCTCACATACATATACACCCACACTCTCACATACATATACACCCACACTCTCACATACATATACACCAACACTCTCACATACATATACACTCTCACGCTCATATACATATACACCAACACTCTCACATGAATATACACCCATACACACTTGACACACACATACACCCAGACACTCGCACACACATACACCAACACTCACACACACATACACCCACACTCACACACATATACACCCACACTCTCACACACATATACACCCACACTCTCACATACATATACACCAACACTCTCACATACATATACACCAACACTCTCACATACATATACACCAACACTCTCACATACATATACACCAACACTCTCACATACATATACACCAGACACTCACACACACATACACCCACACTCTCACATACATATACACCAACACTCTCACATACATATACACCACTCTCACATACATATACACCCACACTCTCACATACATATACACCAACACTCTCACATACATATACTCACACTCTCACATACATATACACACACACTCATATACATATACACCCAACACTCGCACACATATACACCCACACTGACACACACATACACCCAGACACTCGCACACACATACACCAACACTCACACACACATACACCCACACTAACACACATATACACCCACACACTGACACACACATACACCCAAACTCACACACACAACAACCTATATACACATGGTGATTTGTTTATGCAATCGTACAAGGTACGGTTAAGGTACAAAGAAAACAATACAATGACGGAACAACTAATTTTACAGTTAGTTAGGATGTAATGGCTAAGCTGAGTGCAATATATACTGTTCACACTTTGCTAAGGATCAAATCATGGATTCAACAGAAAACTATGATGTGGGTTCAAATTTGGCTTAAATATCTAAGCTTATTGTAAGCATGGACCCTAGGTTTCAGTATGTCCTTTCATCTTGTGGAACCCATACCTGCTACTGACAGGTGTTGTGTACTTCTCAATGACTCGTTCCATGATTTGCAAAATGGTTGATTGGTGCCATGAAAACCATTTTTAGGTTACTCATGTATCAAGTGCATAAGGTTAAATTAAAGTGACTGTTTGCCTAAAGAGGGGTTACCATATTATTATTTATCCAGTTTTAAATGGATACAATTTCAAATTATGTACAGTTGTGAATTTTATTTTTGTGATCCTTAGCAAAGTGTGAGTAGTATATAATGGAGCTGACTATGGTAACACTGACAACAGGGCAAGATCAAGATCTTCATTTGTGGCTGATGATATGATGGGTCATTGTCTTTCATTGTATGATTTGCATGCATTGTAGTTCTAGTAATGTCAGAAAAACCATGGTCGTTCATTATACATTGTTTCCACTTTACCGTAATTAGATTCTAAGGAAGCTTTTCTTTGCAGGGATGTTCACTGCCACCAAGTACACGTTGTACGGGGAGACTGACCTGTTTGTAGATGGGGGCATACTCTGCAACTACCCCATCCATTGTTTTGATGGTAAGACCATTGTATTGTATCCGGTACCTTTACATAGCATCTGTTTGGCGTAGAGCACGTGTTTGTATTTCAGGCTAGTATCTCCCCATGGCTTCTGTTTGACATATAACACATGTTTGTTTGTATTCAAGGCTGGTATCTCTCCATGGCGTCTGTTTGGCATAGAACGCGTGTTTGTTATAATCCAGGCTAGTATCTGTCCATGGCGTCTGTTTGGCATATAACACATGTTTGTTTGTATTCAAGGCTGGTATCTCTCCATGGCGTCTGTTTGACATATAACACATGTTTGTTTGTATTCAAGGCTGGTATCTCCACATGGCGTCTGTTTGGCATATAACACATGTTTGTTTGTATTCAAGGCTGGTATCTCTCCATGGCGTCTGTTTGGCATATAACACATGTTTGTTTGTATTCAAGGCTGGTATCTCTCCATGGCGTCTGTTTGGCATATAACACATGTTTGTTTGTATTCAAGGCTGGTATCTCTCCATATCGTCTGTTTAGCATAATGCATATACTGGACAAAAATAGATAGGGATATACGTAAATTTTGAAATTATGAATGATCTATTTATTCATTGACACACTGATAAAATATCAATCATAAAAATACAAATATCCCTAACTTATTTTACCCAGTATATGGTACTTTGTTGGTACCTCTCCATGGCGTCTGTTTGACATATAACACGTTTGTATTCCAGGCTGGTACCTCTCCATGGCGCAAGGAGACAGTTTCATCCAAAGACTTCAGCCTCTCAGTGATCTACCGCGTCTGTTCGATAGGAAGAACAGATTCGGTGACTACAACAACAAAACCCTCGGGTTGCTACTGGTCAGTATCACACAGGCTTCCCCTTCGGGCCAATGTCCAGCGTATAATGTACACAGATAATTCACACACGTAAACAGTCTTTACCCGCATGTATCAACATTATATCATCAATCATGGGGGGCGGTCGGGTAGCCTAATGGTTAAAGGGTCCGCTCGTCACGCTGAAGACCCAGGTTCGATTCCCCATATGGGTACAATGAGTGATTCCGATTTCTGTTGTCCCCTGTCGTGATATTGCTGGAATACTGTTAAAAGCGGCGTAAAACCAAACTCACTCACTCATCAATCATTGATCGTTTCTCTTGCTATCAATCACAGGTTCACCCAACCATGCATTTACAAGCTGTCGTGACAAATCTGGACAAAAATGCAGCCTGCAACCTTCACATAAAACAACATTCACTCTCAGTTGCGTAATTCTGTAAATGACCCGTGAAAATCCGGGTTAGAATTCATCATCAGCAATCATGCTTGCCGTAAGCGGCGTCTAATAGGATCGGGTGGTCAGGCTCGCTGACTTAGTTGACACATGGCATCCCCGTTGTGTAGATCGATGCTCATGCTGTTTATCACTGGATTTCTGGCCCAGCCTCGATTTTCACAGACTGCCGACATATAGCGGAGTGCGGCGTTAAACAACCAACCAAACCAACCATTCTGTAAATGAAGCATGAGTCAAACAATTGTGCATGGTTCAGACACGGCTGTGAAATTAGCTGTTTCAATCAGCGGTGGTTATTGCGATTTGATACCTCTGACTGACCACTTGGGAAGTTCATGTCAGAATCTGTATTATTTCAGTACGCTGACACCGAGAGAGACGTACTGAGATACACCCTGGAGAAGAGGATCGGCGTCCTGGCACCCGAGAGGCCGTCGGCGGACACCAAGCTGTATATGTACGTACATCATACATTGGAAGACAGTTTCGGTTTTCTTTGGGCGCGTAAGTTTGACGTGGAAGAAAGATTGAATAGATGAGTGTTGCCACTTGAGAAAGCTCAGGAGTACTATAAAAAAAGAAAAAAATAACCTAGAAGCATGTTCAAGATGAATCTGGGATTCGAACCCAGTTTCATGGGGCTTCTCAGGCATGTCCCCCAAGTCCCGTTTTGTGCTACGTAGCTGATACTATTTCTTTTACATCAGAACATCATGTGTTTTTAATACTGTTTGAAATAAAGTCACTTGTGCTTCAATTAATGAATTTGTTAGATATTCGCCACTTATTCATTCAAACAGAACAAAACCCATGCTAATCTTGTCTCCTCAATAATCCCTGTTCAACAATCAGTCAATCTGTACAATAATTGGGTTAATTAATCAGGCAATGTACACAATGACTGAGTGAATCAGGCAATGTACACATTGACTGGTTATTTCAGTCATTGTACACATTGACTGATTGTACACATTGACTGTAACATCACGTACACTCACTCTACATCACTGTACGCAAAGTATGACTCACACATACAAAATGTGAATTCATAATAAATACTTTTTTTCTCTAAAGAAACGATCTATGCATAATACTTACTGATATTTTCTATGTCTAGACAACGGATGAAGAAACAAAAGGACATCGAGAAAGCTGAGAGGGAACACTGTAGAGTGGTGAGGGCAGTGGATGCCTTCTTGAAGGTAGGATTACTCTGCAGCATTGTTAGTTGCAGAACGCGGCGAATAGTCTAGCTGCATGATAAGGGGCTGGAATTGATGGAGCTGAACAATCCAGTGATTGTCAACATGAGCATAGGAGGGGTTTATTGCCGATTTAACAGCGTTTCAGTTATATTTTTACATGCACACTTAATGAGGGGGACATACCGAAGGGGTGGGTTCCCAGGTCAAGCGTGTGCAATGGTGCTGACAAACATGGAACTAAACGTGATTGGAGGTGAGGTGAAATTGGGTTTTACGTCGTGCTTGAGAATATTTCGCTCATATGACGACGTGCATGCGTGTGTATGTGTATGTGCGGCTGCTTGTCCAGACTGAAGCTGGTTTTATAGTGCCAGCTCACTGAGATACCATGCCGCAGTTAAGCATGAATACCCCACTCAGACACATTATACTGACTCCGAGCCGACCAGTCCTTGTTGTACCCATTAATGCCGAGCGCCAGGCAGGGACCAACAAGTACCATATTTTAACGTCTTTTGGTATGACGCGGCCGGGGATCGAACCCGCGACCTTAATCTCTCCGGGCGGACGCTCTAACCACTACACCACGGAGGCGGTAACACATGTCCGGAGCTATATTCGGCGCCGTAACCCTAACCCCTCGCTCACAGAACAGGAGGGATACGTTCAATGTAGATATTTACAATTGCGTAGATCGACGCTCATGCAGTTGATCAGTGGATTGTCTGGCCCAGACTCGATTGTTTACGGACCGCTGCCCAAAACAGGAATATTGAAATAGAAAGACAACACAGTGCGATTATTTCTGGCATATTCGTACATCTTTGAATCAGGGCTGAATATGAATAGGGGTACTTGACTCCAAGTTGTCGCGAGTGCCGCAATTCCATTCGAGTTAGGGGCGGTGGGGTAGCCTGGAGGTTAAAGTGTTCGCTCGTCACGCCGAAGACCCGCGTTTGATTCCCCACATGGGTACAATGTGTGAAGCCCATTTCTGGTGTCCCCCGCCGTGATATTACTGGAATATTGCTAAAAGCGGCGTAAAACCAAACTCACTCAATCACTCACTCCATTCGAGTTGCCTCCCGTGACAGAATCTGATTCTAGATTCGCATCCCGGATTCGTTCTGGTTGTGATCTTTGGCTCGTAATCATCACAGCTCTGACCGTTGTGTAATGATCGAGGACAAGCTGAGTCACTCGAGGCCTTTCTCCCACCTTTACTCTCACATGTCGTGATACAACTGAAATACTGTTCAAAGCGCGGTGAACTCGAGGCTCGTGTAGTCAATCACTGCACTGTGTGGTCCAGACCTATTTGCAATCGAACTTTTTTGCAGGGTTTAATGATAAACCCAAAACTATGAGGGGCGGTGGGGTAGCCTAGTGGTTAAAGCGTTCGCTCGTCACACCGAAGACCCCGGTTCGATTCCCCACATGGTTACAATGTGTGAAGCCCATTTCTGGTGTTCTCCGCCGTGATAATGCTGGAATATTGCTAAAAGCTCACTTACTCACTCACTCATAAACATAAATTTTGGAACTGATTTTCTCACAGGTGCTGAAGAAACATAATTTGGACGACAATGATGTCATAGAAAGAACGGAGCTTGAAGATGCTTTTAAAGACGTGAGTATAGTAACTGGGGAAGTTTAGTAAATTTGTAATATTTTCCCTCGATATGATCCGTGAAATACGTTCACTATGTCAGGTACAAATATCGAGATAGGCCTCTTTCATTCGGCAGTAAACCCTTTGTACACGGTAAAGTATCTGTTAACCTTCTAGCGCAGTTTTACATGTATACTTCCCAGGGAGTTGAAAATGAATAGCGAGTGTGCAGTGATCCATGTAACGGGGAAATAATGTCAGCACCTGAGCACGAATCTTGTGTGTGGCTTGAACAATAAACACACACATTATTATTGTAATAATTAATATCTAGTTATTATAATCTGACGGCACGTTTTATTTTAGAATTTGAAAATGTATAAGAACTACAGCTTGTTCAGCTTGACCTGAGCTACTCTACATATGCATGACCCAGGAGGTCAAATGGCACAAACGGCAGGTCGAGTTAACCTCATTAAATAGGGGAGCAGAGAATGATAAACGGCGACCTTGTCTCTGCTGCTCTGACATGTTGACGATCAACTGACAGAGGTGCACCCCTTCACAATAATAGACCCAACCAGTTTTGACACCGTCACGCAAAGCATTAGTATTCACTTGATCAGGTCAAGCTGAACAAGCTGTAGTTGTCACGCTGTGGAATCACTGTTCAAATTGGCCTCAATCCCAACTGACTCACTAACTCAATGTTCTCCCAGGAAGAAGCTTTTCCTCGGAGTGAGGCTGAAATCCTTTTCGGCGAGGATGTGGATGTACAGAAGGCGTTTGAAATCCTCGACCAAGATGGAAACGGACAGGTACATGTGCAGCATACTACGTTTGTAATGAGTGAGTGAGTGAGTTTAGTTTTACGCCGCACTCAGCAATATTCCAGCTATATAGCGGCAATCTGTAAATAATCGAGTCGGGACCAGACAACCCAGTGATCAACAGCATGAGCATCGATCTGCGCAATTGGGAACCGATGACATGTGTCAACCAAGTCAGCGAGCCTGACCACCCAATCCCGTTAGTCGCCTCTTACGACAAGCATGGGTTACTGAAGATTCATTCTTACCCGGATCTTCACGGGTCTGTTTGTAACGAACACGTTTAGAACGAACTAACGGAAATAACGCATTAAAAGTAGGGTTCGTTCATTCAATCTCGTGGTTACATTGTTTGAGTGTGTGAGTGAGTTTGGTTTTACTCCGCTTTTAGCAATATTCCAGCAATCTTTAAAAGTAGAATTTTTTTCTGGACAATCACGGCGGGGACACCACGGCGGGGAAGTGGGCTTCACACATTGTACCCATGTGGGGAATCGAACCCGAGTCTTCGGCGTGACGAGCGAACGCCTTAACCACTAGGCTACCCCACCGCCCCTACATTGTTCGATTCCCACAATGTTGTGTGAAGCCCATTTCTGGTGTCCCCCCGTCGTGCTGTTGCTGGGTTATTGCGGAAAGAGGCGTAAAACGTTTACTCAAAGATGCGTTTACCAAACCCATTCGCTTTCTTGACACATGCCTTACACTTTCTTTATAAATTATTGTTCGTATGATAACGATAACCAAGCAAAGTATTCAATTTAAAAATGCATTTTTAGTCAGGGTAAAATGAAGATAACCCTATTCTGTGTTTAGATTTTGAGAAGGGTCATCGCTGATTGAGCACGTTAAGCCCAATTGATTTAAATTGACATTTAAAGGTGTCGAAGTTAACGATGAACCACTCCGAATTTAGAACAGCATTTTTCCTTTTTCAACAGTTTACCCCAGCCCCATTCCACCAAACGACGGTAGCGCTGGTAAACCTGTGTTAAAGTACAGGTGATACTATCACCTTAGTTCTAAGATTGATTTGCGGAACGGACCCCAGGGCACCCATCCACAAAACGATTCCTGCGCTCAGGTGACTCCCATACGTGAACATAGATTTGCTCTGTGCATCGCCACCCAGGGGTCAGTTCAACAAAGCAATCTTAGTGCTAAGGCGAAACGTAACTCCCATACCTAAACATGGGCTAACGACAGTCTTAGAGCTAGCATCGCTTCATAGAACGGGGATTGGACTACCGTTTACATCACAACTGGATCCACAAGGCTAGCTTTGTGGAACTAGATCCAGGTCTAATGCAGTTCTTCTGTCTTGCAGATCAAGTATAACGAGCTCGTGACTTTCATAGAGGAACACGGCATTTGTCTGCAGACCCGTTTCCTTGGCTACCAGAGAAAGGAAGTCAAGAACCTATTCACGTTCTTGGACTGCCTCCAGTCGACTTTACTAACGAACGTGAAGAGGATTTATGTGGAGGTAATGGGATAGCTGTACCAATGGGATATGAACACACCAATAACAGCACGGTGTGCAAGCTTATGAAATTACCAGCTTGGTAGTGCTTAATGGACACTGATTTCCTAGTTGTCTTGGTTTACGGTGAACAGACTGATGTTTGGTATAATGATCCATATCAAGTATAAAAAAATTGTCAGTTTGTGCAAGAGAATTTGCAGTACAGTATATTTCACCATTGACTGAAGAGCTATATTTCCGAAACATTCAAACCAAAGTTTACATATACAACGTTGTATTTTTTCCAAATCAAAATATTATCTTTCCAATTATCTGTGATCTGTATCAATCCGAGACCATTAGTCAAAAGCAATTCATGGTTGAAATTATTCTTAGACTAGAAATCTTTGGATATGTGGAATAAATTAATCACTCCAGATTTGCAAAGTTCGAATCAGCGTTGATTACCGTATTTGCCTGTGCTTGTAAATCGTTTTCGTCAGGTGTTCGATTTTTCTTGACAGTGCATTCAGGTGTTGGTGTTAGATGGGAGTCGCATAGGTGTCTGTTGCACAGATCCGCAATCCAATCCGTATTGTTTGCTTAAAAATCGAAAATACATGTATAACTTGCTGTCTCAGTCTGCCTGAAGAGCTGTGTTGTTTTTGTCGTCTGCTGTGTGTCGGAGCGACTGGAGTGCACGTGTTGCACGAAATTCACGTGGTTGAAACGTGACACGTTACACCGGACACAAGAGAACACCGGAAGCTTTGGGATTGACACTCATGCAGTCTGTCAACAAAACGATCAACGATCACAAAATATTAACTCGTGCATGCTTTTGATCCCAAACGTACTGTGGCAGTTTGATTGTGAATCCCTTTATCACCTCCACATCTTCGTCTGTTCCCCAACTGCACCCTGGATGTCAGTGGAACACAAGCGTGTTTCCCTGTAGGTAAAAGGCGGTTGGGTAGTCTAGTGGGTTATGCGTTCGCTCATCACACCGGAGGTCCAGGTTCGATTCTGTAATGTACATCGTGTAAACCCCAGTTTCTATGACCTATGCAAAAAAGCGGCATGAAACCAAACTCACAGCCAGTCATATGTTTGTGGCGCATTGCACATCTCGTGCGTTATAACATTTGTCGACATTCTGATCTTAAAGGCGTAGTTTTAATCTGACTGTAATTTCATTGTAGGAGAGAGACATCGGACGTACGGTGGGCATAAACACTGGCCATGTCGGCACGTCTGACTTCATCCTTGAAGAAGAGGATCGGGAGTTTGTGGTGCAGGTGAGTATAGAGATTCCCATCATTTGTTGCTTGTAATTCCTTCAGTTAGCTCCTCCCACACATTGGTCTTCAGTATCCATGTTTGTCGTAAGAGCCCAGATAACATTCGGACGTTGGCACAACGTTGGCAATGTTGACAAAACCATTACCAACGTTTGGCCAACGTCTGAATGCTATCTGGGAGGCGACTAACGGGATCGGGTGGTCAGGCTCGCTGACTTGGTTGACACATGTCATCGTATCCCCATTGCTTAGGTTGATGCTCATGTTCTTCACTGGATTGTCTGGTCCAGACACGATCATTTACAGACCGCCGCCATATAGCTGGGATATTGCTGAGTGTTGCATTAAACAACAAACCAACCGGTCTAACCTTTACAGGAAGCGATTCTTTAGTGCTCTAGTTTCATTGCTTTCATGTGTGGTAGTTATGGTGATCTTATACAATATAGCTGTGGAGTGTTGCGTTATTTGTATCTAGAACCGCTTAATGTTGGGCGAATGACAGAACTGACTTCATGACCGCGGGTTGTGGTATTGACAAATGAACAATCATAAATCTTGCATTCAGGGAATCGAACCCACGATCAGCGAAATCACGGTGCTCCTATAGGACTCAATACTAAATACAGCAGACTCTCCCTCGATTATAGCAATCCTATTTCCAGGAAGTGCATGATTACTCTTTTAATGTATTTATCAAAATGTCAAGATAATGAACAAGTGCTTTTTGTTCCAAATATTGGAGTTGATGACATATTTATAAGTAATGGGGACTATTCCCAGGGGACGTATCCAAACAATTTTGACTATTAATAAAACAGGACCTTTTGCCGCACAGAACCAAAAGGTTTTGTTCTCTGATCGGGAATAAAAATCACTGTGGTGCGAAACATTAAACAAATCTGACAGTGTTATCCGACTGCATCAGTCTGAAATCAATACTAGTTAATCGGTAGTAGGTAATTTCCCTTTAAGCTGAGTGTCAATCAATGTACATCATCAATCAGAGTTGCTATGCGTGCGCACCTTGTACTGAGAAATTGCAGGTTTGGTGTATCTGCTTTGAGGGATGATAGAGTTATCTCCCCTTAAATATGGTGTTTTTTTACCAACAGTGAGTGAGTGAGTTTAGGTTAACGTCGCTCTTAGCAATATTCCAGCTATATGGCGTCGGTCTGTAAATAATCCAGTCTGGACCAGACAATCCAGGGATCAACAGCCTGAGCATCGATCTACGCAATTGGGAACCGATGAAATGTATCAACCAAGTCAGCGACCACCCGATCCCGTTAGTCGCCTCTTACGACAAGCATGGGTTAATGAAGATCAATATTCTAACCCGGTCTTTTTGACTTACAGCATGGTAGAGTGTGTGCATATGATGTATGGTGTTACTTGTTCCAGAGGGGCTACAACTCATGTCGAGCGTTCCTACAGTATTTTGTGGTGGAGAATAACCCACCTATGAAAAAGACAGCACAGATTTGTGAAGACGGTAACGTTGACAATGATCAGAACCACGTAGAATTGGAACTCAAGGCCGAGGAGACGGTCATAAGCGACAAGGACGAGAAGGAGAGGCGTATGTATTGCTTGGATTCAGTGGTATATGTATATGTTGTATTGTATAGGCATGGATGTGCTCAAGGGTACTGTGTGGCAGAGACCAGTGTGAGTGAGTGAGCGAGTGAGCGAGTGAGCGAGTGAGTGAGTGAGTGAGTGAGGTTTTAGGCCGCTTTTGGCAATATTCCAGCAATATCACGGCGGGGGACACCCGAAATAGGCTTCACACATTGTACCCATGTGGGGAATCGAACCCGGGTCTTCGGTGTGAGGAGCGAACGCGTTAACCACTAGGCTACCCCAACGCCTCAGAGACCAGTGTGCGAAATATATAGTTTCCAAATTTGGCTTGCCAGTCGGGCTAGCTATGCCTGAAAGTTACTAGCCCACAAAATATTTCACTAGCCCCAAATTTGAATGTAGAAACTAAGCAAAAGATTACAAAAAGGTAACATACCATCATTTATCAGGGTATAATGTTGCATGGTTTAAAAGTGTATTATGATTTAACAAGTCGGAGAGAGTGATATATTTAAAATATGACGCCATGAAAATCCACTGGTCAGTCGGGCCAGTGACTGTGGAGATTTACTGCCCCGATTGGATTTTAACTAGCCACGGGCTAGCGGACCAGTGGCTATTTCGCACACTGCCAGAGAAGCAGATGCACACACTCTTACATAAAATCACGCGCTCCGCTCCTTGTCGAGAGGCAGGCAGGCATTATAATTATCATGGTTTAACTTTTATTACAGAATCAAGTTATCTTCCTCGCCAATCACCGTCTTGTAAAATGTGAAAAACATACAAGTATATGTGACGTCATCTGTTAGCGATCACTAGATGGAGTGTGTTTAGAGAATACATAAATGGTTTTTCAGTGTAAGTAAACTTAGGCTCAGTATTATTCGTTACACTGCTATACTGTATAGCAGTGTAACGAATAATACTGAGTCTAAGTTTACTTGGACTGATGTTTTTTGCACTTGTAATGGTGAATTCGTATTTCTTGCCCAGACTCGACTAGTTTTTACCACTGTCATATAGTTGGAATAATAAACCCAAAATTGTAAGTTGTTATCGTGTCAACAGTGGGATGTTTGATAAGCTCATTCAACTCACAAACATCCTATACGTTCCTCTTGAGACACAATTAAGACACAGCATCACAACGTGAAAGATAAGGGTATCCGGTATCCGTGATGATCCGGGTTAGAATGATTCTTTAGCAACCCATGCTTGTCGTGAGAGGCGACTAACGGGATCGGGTGTTGTTGTCAGACTCGTTTACGAAGTTGATGCATGTCATCGTTTCCCATTTTCGTAGGTCGATGTTCATGATATCAATCACTGGATTGTCTAGTCGAGATTCGATTATTTACAGACCGCCGCCATGTAGCTGGAATATTGCTGAGTGCGTCGTTAAACAACAACCAAACGCAGTGGCACAGATCGATGCTCATGATGTCAATCACTGGATTGTCTGGTCCAGATTCGATTATTTACAGACCGATGTCATATATTTGCTGAGTGTGGCGTTAAGCAACAAACAATCATACAAACAATCAAACAAACAAACAAAAGGCTATCAAGCGGGGGCAGTGTGAATTTTGAATTTCACAGACTTATCTTATACCTGTTCATTGCTTCAGATTGTGTTACAGGTGTTAACGGATGTCATACACTATTCGACAACGGACGTGGACACGTGACGTGCGTATTTTGATATTTTGCAGATCCTAACATGCAGTGATTACTACTAACATCAACCACTGACGCACGGACCGACGTACTTCAACGTCATGTAACGTTGTGGTCCGACACATGACCTTGTTTGGACAACGAATTTCTACAGCACTATTGTTTTGTTCACACTAACACGACGCACGCTTCACGACTGTAACCAACAATTGGGGTGTGACACTTTTAAAACAATTAACACCCTTCATAATATTTTTCGCAGCGCATGCCAACATCCAAACTGTTAAACTGATGTTTACATTGGGTGATTGTACAACACAATGCACGTCAAACATATTTGACATCTTTTTACGTATACGTTTCTAGCTCACCTTGACCTTAGACCAACGCGCCCTTAGCGCATGCGTAGTGTGTACGTTATCGTACTTCGTGCTGCGATATTGTCATTCATTGTTCAGAGCACTACAGTCACTCACTCAGAGTTAAGTTTACTTTTCCTAAGGAATATTACGTATAGATATCAGTAATCTTACATAATATTCCCTGATAATATTTGGCGGTTTTGTAGCTCCCTCGCGTAGGAGAATATAACAGTTATTATGTAATTTAGTCTTCTCGAGTTTGCGCACCCAGTTAACATTTCTGCCTATAATTTACTTTACTCCCTAGTGTGTCCCACTAAACAATATTGAAAATACTAGAACACATTATGAGGCAAAAAGTGCATGAGCATCATATTTCACACACCAACGCATTCACACACATAAAGACAGTCACTATGATCTCTCACGAATCGGGAAACTATGCACTGATCACACTATTAGGGCAGCAGTTTTAGTTTTTGTGCTTCTCATCGCCCGACCGACCCTTCAAATTTTATTGCCGACACCCCCCTCCCAAATTAAAAAAACCCAAAACAAAAAAAACCAAAACAAACAAACAACAACCACAACCCCCCCAAAAAACTTGTTTTTTCATTCCAACACCACCGACCCGAACCTAAAACGTACCGCCTCGTCATATAAAATGTTATCTATCTAAATTGTGTTAATCAGTCTCTGTCACGAGTCCAAGGAACGCGAGAAATTGTAACAAGAATTACAATAAATGAGAGTCAAGAACATTATTTAGATGATTTTGTCTTGATTAATTAATGGAATTACTTATGGAATGATTATAGTCACACACAGCAACGCGTTATACGTTTGTTGCTAAAAGCAATCGGATACACATGGATTAATATAGGTCTAGTCTAATTTTATATTATTGTGAATAACAAACGCAAAAAACTACCATTCGATATACTAGTGTGATCACTTACCGCGCAATAACACCAGTGAAGAATTTCATATTCAAAATCGTCAAGGGAAAAGAATAGTTTTGAGTTAAGTGCTTACTTATATACTACTAAATGCTATTCAACGTTTGAAGTTATCTGACTGGTTGTTTAGAGATGATCTACGAACAGGCTGCAATTTTAGAAGGACCCGATGCATGATACGCTTCATTTCATAACGGGAACTAGTCAAAAGGGCCGGAGGACAAAAGGGCCGAGAAGTGCCTTCATAACCACCCCCCCAACCCCCACCCAAATAAATATGTCTGTATACAACAGTATCCCAAATCGTATTGTGAGCTAGCACAGCGTTCCTGTCTGGATTTCCGTACTTTTCGCAGTCACGTATTTTGAGTAAACCTGTTAGTTCTAACATCATGATTATCCAGATGTTAGTGAACGAGTTTATATGCATACTGTGGCCAAAGCAGAAAATACCCGGTGATAATAAATATGTTCATAACCTTATGGCTATAAATAAGGGTGAGTTTGCTCACATTTACAACCGTATCGTGACTAAAACAACTTATAAATTCACCATTAATACATGTAAATTAGAACTACAAAAAAACATGGACAGTAAAACAACTAGAATATCACAGTTATGAATATAAAACTAGTATGTAAATCTGAAATATTTTAACTACAGAATATGAAAACTAGATTGCCAACAGCTGAAGGTAGATCACCATACTAGGAACCATGGGTTATAAATACGAAGCATTTGTATTTTTTAAAACCATATTGGCATCACTTAAAACGCTAAATTCATCCGTTTTCTATTTCTTCTATTTCAGTCCTGTTGGGTGACACGTGAGGTTTTGGGATCAGAAGACACCTTTCACTTGACACCTGATCTTCATATATGTCTCAACAGGCATCTATCTGCCTTGCTGTCTCACTTGGAACACTATGATACGAATACCCAAATTAATGCATTTTTATGTTTGCATATTTGATGAATTAATTCACGAGGTATGAAACGTTTGCAGCATATAGTTTCATACCCACGCCTTGTGCACGTATCTGTTTAAAGATCTAATATTTCTTGGTATTTGGATGTCAACCTGATGTAAATTCTGGTTCTGGACCCCTGACACAACCTACGTAAGACACGTCTTTATTACCTGTGTAAGACACGTGTTAAATACGTGTCTTAGACACGTGTTTATTACCTGTGTATTGACATTTAAGTATATGTTTATTAGCTTTGAATTGTATTTTGACCATCTACAAATGGTGTTTTTTGGTACCCATTTATTGTATCTGAGACTATTTTCAAATGTGTGTTTGGTACCTCTGCTTTGTATTGGAAGCCATTTTCATGTATATGTTTAGTTCAGTGTCCACCGCTTGTACCAACATACTCAGATACTACTTCACCGTATCGTGACTGAGTGAGATTAAGCGACGTTCAAACAGCACTTCCACAAGACCGACAGGGAGACCAAACCTGGGTTACTTTCGTTCATCCATTTGGGGAGTTGACCTTGACTCTTCCATGATGAAGTTGAACCACTAGGTGGTCCTGTCGCCGTCTTCATGCTGTTGCCATCTATTGTGTAGGGAAGCGACGAAATGTACGAGAAAACAGACGTCTTCACGACGATAAAATACCAAAATATATTTCCATTCAAAGAAATTCCAGTTTTTACTTCTCAGGCTGTGTTTTGTTCGCCACATTTAAGTGTAGAGACTTTATGTTGCCAGATTGTTTCATCATTCTCATCAACACTGTGGTTCCATCCTGTCGTACTTTGTGACTATTGCAAGCAAAGTGAAACGCCAGTTATCTACACATGCAGGGCCATGGACGTGTTACTGAATAATTGGCAATACTACCGTTACGGCCAAAATTTCTGAAGTCTCTGGTTAATGGATTCCGCTGATCCTGAAATAATTAAAATGGAAAAAATATATAGTCTAAATGTGAAGTATCATCACAAATAAGTGAGGCAAATTTCATGTAGCATCATCATTATTTCATCCCTATAGCAACGACCATCGCTTAAATTCTCATGATACCAACGGGAGGAGGTTAGCACTACACACATTATTCAGATATTTGTTGACAATGAGAAACAAAGAACTGAATTATATATATGCACTATCTACCAACCAGGTTTTTGTTCCTTAACATAATTTCTAAGCAGATGGGTCAACTGTCGCTGGACGGTGAAAGAAGTTTTTTATTACTCTATTTTTTTCTGACGTATGATGTTTAAAAATAATACGAAGCTTTACAGACGAAGCATTACACTGGAACTTCTTTAATCCGGACCCTGTAAATCCGGACTCGCCGCAGTTAACCTATCGCCAGTTTGATAGGTCGGACAGGGTTAGAGTTGTCATACAAAATGGCAGATTGTGTCGGACTTCCTGATTGGTCAATCATGTTGGTTGATTGACAGGTCGTGAGAACCTAATTCAGACGATTGCGTAATCAGAGACATTTGTACGTATTTACGACACGTAAATGCAGGCATCGAGTAACGTTTTCGTCCAGATTAACGGGTATACACTGTGCACAGTGTACACATTCCATTTTAGTGACCAAGTATCAAGAAATAAAAAAGTGAAATACGATGAGGATTGATATCTGAAATAGACAGTAAAAATATATTGTGTTTAATTTCCAAGCTGTATATTTTAACACTGCTTTGTAGTCATCAGATACCACGTAAAGCTGCTTCAACTGAATTGAACTCTTACTGTTCTTTACATATCAATTATATCTTGTGTCATGCATGTCCATTTTACGTTTTAAAATGACAAAACTCACGTTGTTATATCAAAGTTATTGTTATTGAAATACACCGCAAAACAGAGGTACACGTTCTTCGCAAGTTAATATAGGGAAGGGTTGACTTATAGGTACCCATCGAGAGCTAAAAGAGGTTTTCTTGTTCGTGTCAATGTCGGGGAGTTCTCTTCTTGCACAGCTTTCTTTTGGCAGTGAATGACACTTGTGTGTGCAAGAAGGGGCTTCCTTTGAATTGGATTTACGACACGTGTCCAATCCTTGTATGTGTTTGTTTGTTGTTTAACACCACATCCAGCAATATCACAGCTTTGTTACGGCGGTTAGTTAAGAAACTAGACTGGACCAGTGGTTGATATGATGAGCACAGTAACGCGCAACTGGGATACGATGTATCAGGCATTTAACCAGACGATTCCGTTCATTGCCTCTTACCAGCATGGGATGCTGTTGATCACGGGATTGTCTGGTCCAGACTCGATTATTTACAGACCGCCGCCATATAGCTGAGTGCGGCGTTAAACAACAACTAATAAATATAACAAGCATGGCTTGCTGAAGCCCAATTCTGACCCGGATTTATTACGGAGCCACTCTATTTTTAATTCTAATTTGACTTTGTTCAACACAATCGAATTTTGCTAACACGACTTTTTACGTGTTATTACACTGTATAACGAGCTATGTCATTAATCTTAGTTTCTGCGCTGTCTGCAATGTGATGGTTTTCACTGAACAATCAAGATTTGATATGGTTTTGCCAAATCTGTTTTCTTTGAATAAATACAAATACAACTTCCTCTACAATGTGCTTTTTATGGTTTTAAAAGGATTTTAGGACCTGATGGTAATCACACGGGAAACTCTTCACAATATACAACTGCTCATATTTTATCTTCATGTCGAATTTCGAGATCTGACTGGTTCTTGTGATCTTGATGAAATACCACGTGTCCTAAATTCCGGAGCGAGAGAATATATCCATTATACCCCATCACTAAGAAATCAGGCTGCATGTGGATTACTGGGGCGACTGAATCCCTTAAAACCGACACCTCGGGAACAGGCTGCATGTGAGTTTCTTACAGGGAAAATAAATCTTGTACCTGCCTCGAAGAAATTTGGCTGCAAGTGGATTTAAAAGAGAGAAGAAATCCTTTAAACCCCACCACGAAGAAAACAGGCTGCACTTGGAGTGAGTGAGTTAAAATTTAAAGTTACATCGGCAATATTTCAGCCATATCGTGACTACAGCAGGTTTTAAGTCGCCATACATACATGAAAAGCCTGTCAACGAAGGACAGTAAAAATAACTAGAATATCACAGATATATTTGTAAAACTAGCATGAAAATCTGAAATATCTTAACTTCAAAAGACAATGTAATTAAAAAAACGGGCTATAGATCGCCAACAACTGAAGCTAAGTGAGTGAGTGAGTTAAGATATACAGTCACATCGGCAACATTTCAGCCATATCGTGACTAAAGCAAGTTTTAAATTCAACATAAATGCATGTTGATTATAAAAACCTGTCATCGAAGGACAGTGAAACCAACTAGAATATCACAGTATCAAGAAACAAAACTAGCATCTCTCCCTAAAATTGAATTTCAAATAAGGACATCACAATATACAAATTGACTATAGGTCGCAAACAACAGAAGGTAGATCAGCACACTAGGGACCAGGCTGCACAATACTGACTGGGAGAGTGAATCCCTTATAACCCTCCTCAAAGTAACCTGCATTCTTGTTTATGAGTCAATGAGTGAGTAAGTGAGTTAATATTTAGCGTCACATTGGCAATAACTCAGCCATATCGTGACGAAAACAATTTATAAATGGAAGATGAATACATTTCCATGATTGAAACCCTTCGACGATGGACAGTAAAACTACTATAGTATCACACATATTAAGATAAAACTAGAATGTTATCATAAAAACATATCACTATAGACAACAATACAATATAAAATCGGTCTAATGATCACTACCAACTGAAGGGAGGTCACCATGCTAGGGACCATGGGGACTTGCAGTACTTTTGCTACCCGCATGGACCCTAGCTGGATTTACACCATCCCCTCAGCGGTTGGTGATTATGAGTCAATGAAAGGAGTGCGTGAGTTTAGTTTTACGCCGCATTCAGCAATATTCCAGCTACATGGCGGCAATGAATGGGGTGAGTGAGTGAGTGTGTGAGTTAAGATTTACAGTCACATCGGCAATATTTCAGCCATATTGTGACTAAAACAAGTGACCCATGAAGGTCCGGGTAAGAATATTTACCTTCAGTAACCCATGCTTGTCGTAAGAGGCGACTAACGGGATCGGGTGGTCAGGCTCGCTGGCTTGGTTGACACATGTCATCGTATCCCAACTACATAGATCGCTGCTCGTGCTGTTGATCACGGGAAGATCAATTCTAACCCTGATCTTCACGGGTTAATACAATTCGGGGTATGTGTGTTTTTATGGATGCCGCGTTAGGTTTTATATACTACTCAACGTTTGGTGAGGATGACGTTGTGATGGTACAAAAATGATCGAATATGTAAAAAAAAAATATCCCGTCACACAATGATTGGGTAATCATGTTTCATGGTGATGGGACAGTGGCATGTAATCATTGGCATGAAGTGCTTGAGAATAGGGGAGGGTCTTTCAACATCGTCCACATTGACTCTGCAACAACTGAATGCACGCACATGTTTTCCCCGCCATATTCTACGTCAGGGACACCGTTTGCAGACCGAGGAATTATACAGATGCATAGTCATGCTTGATACTATCTTAACACAACGTCTTTGGTGTCAGGCAAAATATTACCAGCAAAGCATGGCATTGGTACCACGTTTCGATCATTTACTCAACGACATGCAGGTGGATATCAGCGTTCCACTTCACAATGTCCAACTTTTTATATGGCTCAGTTTGCGCTTCATGCCAACATGGGGGGCGGTGGGATAGCCTAGTGGTTAAAGGGTTCGCTCGTCACGACAAAGACCCGGGTTCGATTCCCCACATAGATACAATGTGTGAAGCCCATTTCTGGTGTCTCCCGCCGTGATATTGCTGGAATAGTACTAAAAGCGGCGTAAAACTAAATTCACTCAATCACTCATGCACACATACATGTATGTGCAACCTCGCAAACAACGGCATGTTACTTGTCATAGGACTTGCCACGCTATCTGCGGAACATTTTACTGCCCTTCAAAATAGACAACAGCACATGTAGTGTGAGGTGAGGTGAAATTTGGTTTAACGTCGTGCTTGAGAATATTTCGCTCATATGACGACGTGCATGCGTGTGTATGTGCGGCTGCTTGTATTAGTCCAGACTGAAGCTGGTTTTATAGTGCTAGCCCACTGAGATACCATGCCGCAGTGAAGCATGAATACCCCACTCAGACACATTATACTGACTCCGAGCCGACCAGTCCTTGTTGTACCCATTAATGCCGAGTGCCAGGCAGGGACCAACAAGTACCATATTTTAACGTCTTTTGGTATGACGCGGTCGGGGATCGAACCCGCTACCTTCCGTTCTCCGGGCGGACGCTCTAACCACTACACCACGGAGGCGGTCCACATGTTGTGTGCCTTTGCATCAAGAGCCAATGCTCCGCCTCCTGCAGTGCATCATCACGGGCCCTTGTAGTTGGATTTAGTTGTTTATTTACTTGATGGGGAAAATATAGATTTATCTATCAATATCATGTGTTACCATACCATGTGGTAGTCCACATTGCTGAGTGAGTGAGTGAGTTAAAACTTAACGTCACATCGGCAATATTGCAGCCATATCGTACCACATTGCTGAGATTTAAACCCGGTTGTATTACTCAACTAAAGAAACCGATCACAATGTCTACACATTTTGTTATTTAATAGATATCATTGTTAGGGAAATAAGGAAAAGATTGCAATGGCGATTTAAACATCTTGCTACGATCATTGATCGCAAACAAGCATGACATGTAAATCGCGAGTGGGTAAGTACATGTATGGTTATACACCGCTTTTAGCAATATTCCAGCAATATCCCGGCGGGGGACACGAGAAATGGGCTTCACACACTGTACCCATCTGGAGAATAGAACCCGGGTCTTCGGCATTCACCACTTTAGTTTAAAAAACATGTTCACCACTTACTGAATTTACTTTGAAAAGTAGTTAACATTTTTCAAAGAATATAAATAACGGAATGATATATTTACTAAACCATTCGCAATCATGGCTCACGCACAGATAGATCATACGTTAACTCCGTCCCATGGTCGGGAAAGAATATTAGTGCATCAAGGTTACATGTTTAAGAGCAATAAGAAGACACATTCCTCGCAGTCCTGGGAATGTATGTTGAAAACCTCTCCTGCAGGACTGTCAACAGTATACGACATCTTGACCAGACAAAGGAGCATGGCATAACCATCAACGGGTAGACGTTGATGTGAAGGTAAGATGGTAAAAATTTAAGTTTTATTCAAGTCCGGATTTGATAGATTCCACTTCAAAATTCTTTTTTAATATTTGTTTTCATATCTTAATTTGAATTGTTTTGGCCATGATTTAACACTTTTGGGTATAACACTTATCGGACAATATAAAATATTTTCAATTCCTTTTAACGGGCGAAAGAGACCATTGAGACCATCAAGAACCCATATGTTATAGTTGGGATTATACTTTCTTATTAAAGTACAGATTTTGGTACTTTTGTTGGGTTGAGCCCAATCCGGGATTCGACCCACACCCTCAGAGTCAGGCACCTAATCGCCGACTAACCCGCTCAGCCTTTGTTTGCTCCGCAATATTCCAGCTATATGTCGGCGGTCAGTAAACCCAACAAAAGTACTAGAATCTGCACTTTACTAAGAAATTGTAATCCCAAATATAACATATGTTACATTTGACCACTTTCTAAATGGCCGAGCGAGTGAGTGAGTGAGTTAATATTTATCGTCACATCGGCAATATTTCAGCCATATCGTGACGAGAACAATTAATTGGTACATGTAGTAAATAATAGTAAATTATAAAAGCCTGCCTACGAAGGACAGTAAAATAACTAGATTATCACAGAGAATAATTTAAAACTAGTAATTAAATCTAAAACAGTTTAACTATAGTTGACAATACAATATAAAACCTGGCTATTGATTGCCAACAACTGAAGGTAGATCACCATACTAGGGACCATGGGGACTTACAGTACTTTTGCTTCCTGCATGGACCCTAGCTGGATTTACACCGTCCCTCAGCTATTAGCAATTTTGGATATTCAAGCCACAAATTAAAAGAACATATATTCTACGATTAAAAATAACAGTAGATTTAAATTTACACTGAATGCTTTGGGACTTACGTACCCTCTCAGGAGGACAATAATTTTACAATACTTCAACCCCCCTTTGAGGGCACAGCCACTAACAATCTCAGTTACTAATCTAAACTACCAATAATAAAATATATATCTATTTACAAATCACTTAACAAATCTAATTCTTTTAAAAAATGCAATAACTAAATGAGAGCTGATATTATTAAAAAGATCCTTCATAGTGTTTACTTTGAAATAGTTATCCCTTGTGATGGAATATTCAATGCAATCAAGCAAGACATGCTTGACTGTGATTCTTTCATCACAAGGGATGCAAAACGGAGGATCTTCGCCTTTCAATAAATATTCATGAGTATATCTAGTATGGCCAATGCGACATCGCCGAATAATGACCTCTTCAAATCTGGACTGACAACCCAAGTAGGTGTAACCAATATAGGGTTTTAT